TTTCTAATGCAGGTGGTAAGCCTACTACACAAGTAAAGATATCTTTATGAATGTAATGTTTTGTATCAGGATTGTAAGCAGCGACTTTAGAGAAATCGTTGGAGTAAACTGCATTCGGATGCAAAGTTATTTCATCCAACACCCGTAAACTGTCATTAAGCTTTTTGAAGTTTATGGAGTATCGTCTTTCTTGTCCAATCAATGTATCAGACTCATAGGTAATGAAATAACCTTGGGAAAATAATGGTTTGCCTTTTATTAACTGGACATATTTTTCAATATCCTCGTCCGTAAACATACCTTTGAAAACAAAAGGATTGGAAGAAATTGATTTTTGATTTAATCCACTTGCGAGTATTCCTATCACCATCATACCGAACCCAAAATGTGCTATCGCAGAAGACGCAAGTTTTATATTCCATTTTAAAACGGATACTACATAATCTATATTGGAAATGACTGCAAAATAACCTGTAATACACATCACAACATATTGCCATGAGTATAATTTTATCCAAAAAGTAGTCAGATAGGTCAAAACAATCGAAGCTCCCAATAAAATTAGCATTTTTAACGCAAATTTATTTTTCTTTTGTTCCCAATTTACACCATGATATCTTAAGAAGATCGCTACAGATGACAAAATGGAAACAAAGACGGCTATCCAAAGTTGGTACTTATTGAAGTGCGGAATAACATCTTTTATAACTTTACCTACATATCCAGGATCAAAATATGTTAAAATTTTATTGTAAACTGGCAATGATGTCGAACCCGTAATAAGAATGGCGCTAAAGAGTAAGATCAAAGAACCTATAAACATCCAAAATTCTCTAGCATATAATGGTTCTTCCTTAGCAGGACTTGGTATAGATTTCCATCTGTAGGCCCAGAATCCCATTCCAGCTACAAAAAAGAAACCCACTAAGATTATTAATTGCCATTCTAATCCCATTTCTGTAAAAGCATGAGCTGATGTATCACCCAAAACTCCGCTTCTAGTAAGAAAAGTAGAGTATAATATGAGCACAAATGAAATCAAATAGTAAAAGTAAACAGACCTTGTCCCGTAACCTGTATTTTTAGCTATCAAATGGACATGCAATCCTGCTACTAGGGTAATCCATGGCACAAGCGATGCGTTTTCTACTGGATCCCAAGCCCAATACCCACCGAAAGATAAGGCTACATAAGCCCATAAACTACCCATCAATATACCAGTTCCCAATATACCAGCTGAAAAAAGACTCCAACCAAAAGCAGGTTTTAACCAATCCTTGTGTTCATTTTGCCATAATCCTGCAAATGCATACGCAAAAGGAACAATGGTAGAAGCAAAACCTAGGAAAAGTGTAGGTGGATGAATGGTCATCCAATAGTTTTGCAATAATGGGTTCATACCTCTGCCTTTTATAAGGCTAAGGTAATCAGCATTTGCAAATATGGGTGCCTCATTCATTTGTCTGAGTAGGGTAGTAGGGTTACTTCCTATTTTAATAGTTTCTTCTCCCCAAGGTATATGTATACCAAGCAACATTGTCATTAATATGGCTTCTGCCACAGCAAACGTAAATAGGAGAGGAGCTTCTAGTTTTCCAGATTTTTTTATCAAAATAAAACCCAATATGATGTGCCAAAACATCCATAACATAAAGCTTCCTTCCTGACCTTCCCAAAATGCAGATAATATATATTTGAGTGGTAAATCTGGCGAAACATGGTCAAATACGTAAGAATATTCGTACATATGATGATACATGGCATAGAATATCAATCCTATGATTGTCAATACGCTAAAGCCGTGAACAAAATATGCATTTCTACCTATTTTTGACCAACCGTCTTCACTTGTATTTACTTTACTTTGTACAGATATAAAATAGGAAATTGCTGAAATGACTGCAGCAACAAAGGCAGTTATAATCAAAAAATGTCCTATTTGGCCGACCCAAAGGTGCTCACCTATATATTTTACTTCATTCATGAATTTGTGTCATTTGTTTTTCAGCCTTCTTGATTTCTTATGGCAATCTCTTCGTCTTTATATTTAGATGGACACTTCATCAGTATTTCATTGGCTTCAAAGACACCTTCAGAAAGAACTCCTGTTACAACTATTTGTTCAGACATTTCAAAATCTTGTGGTTTGGGTTTACTTAAAACCACTTTAGTTTCGACTCCTTTATCGTCTTTCATGAAAAATGAAAACTCGTTTGGTTTATTTTGTGGATCATACTCCATAGGTTTGTCTTTGGACAATTGACCTACGATTTTTACTCTTTCTCCATTTTCGGCATCCTTAAAGCTAGCATATGTGCTTACGTCTTTTGATACACTTGAGAAAACTAAAACACCCACTGCTATTAGGATAAATGATATGATTATATTTCTATTCATTATTTGGGCATTGATGATTAATTAACTTAAATATCGCACAAAAGTACAAATATTCTAATACAATATAAAATCGCAGGAAATTGTTTAGAAACTATCTAATTAGTTTCAATCTCTAAATGTACATTTAAAGTTAAAAATTATCACTATAACAGCTTATTAATCTTGGTTTCAACTAATCTTCAAATAAATCATCTAGTTTTCTCGTCTTCTTGAGTTTTATAAAAGATCTTGCAGCAGCAATTACATCAGCCCTTGCATTATTGGCAGGACCATACGTCTGACCGAAACAAGTTGCATGCAATTCTGGTAAGGTTGGCCATTTGTACCCACCACCTTTGGAAGGGATTTTACAAAAATACGTACCTTCTTCCATTAGGCAATATCTTTTTTTAGAAAACATATTGATACTTTTCTTCATCCTCACATATTCTGCACCTAATACATTTTCATTATAATTTAGATTATGTGAAAAAATGTATTCCGCTTTTTCTGCACTTGCCGAAAATTTATCTAATATTTCAGCTAAATCAGTACTTTTTTTAACAATATCTGCATCATCAATATGTGTTTTAGTTTTAGATTTTTCGTCTATAACATATCCATTAGGTATTGGAATACAATCAAAATCCTCCAATGGTTTGTAATCTTCTCCCAATAATATCCAGCTAATATGGAGCAATCGTGGCCAAGCTTCTGTATCAGTAAATGTGGCCTTAAAGTCCGTTTTTGTTGCTAATGCTGAACAGTCAAAAATTAAATACATATCTCTTAATCAGTTATTTATGGTAAAGTGAATTAAAAATAATTTCCGCAAGTCCATTTGATGTACTTTGGGAGTGAGATGCAAAACGCAAAGTTGAAGTTTCAGTATCATAAAATGAACCCAACGCATGAAAATTTGAACTTTTGTCCTTATAACAATATGCTACTATATTTGGTTGGCTATTTTCGGGTATCAAATGTTTTATGGTTCGCTCTACATTGGTCATTTCCGCAGTTTCTTTTTCATGGATTGATTTAAGAATCCTTCTTATTTTAAGGTTTTCTGCAAGGGTTACAAATGCAAAAGTGCCTTGACCAGGAGCTGGGATCATCTCTTTTGGATGGAGATTTACAAGCTTCACAGGTGCGTTGAAAATTGCTTTATCAGCGAATACTTTTGGTAAAATGACTGCATTTGCAGAGCCAGCATTCAATAAATCTATATTTTTCTGTATGTTATTACTCGAAACTACCACATTTATCGAAGGATTCAGCTTTTTAAGTTGCTCTGACTGAATAATCGATGAGACGTGCACAGTTGAGCCAGCTTTCAAACGAAGTTCTTCAGATGGGGCATAACAATCTTCATTAATCACAAGGCAATCTTGTGCATCGTGTCTTTCTGATAAAGCTGCTATGATTAGGTCATCTGCTGGATAAACAGGATGTAAGTCAGATAAATGGAAGATTGCAAAGTCTACCTGACCGTTTTTTATCAATGCAAATGTCTTTTGTGCGCTTTCATTGCCGGGCTCATCGATAGGGATAACTTCAATCTCGTAGCCCAAATCTGCTAGTTGTGTTAGAGATTTGGTGACAAATGCCTCTAAATTCTGACCTTTGGCATAAGCAATATTTAAAATTTTATCCAAAATTATGTTTAATTTGCACTAACTGGTTTGTCAGTTTTGATGGTAAAAAGCTGCAAATATATAGATAAAAATAAGTAGTCTATCTTTTTAAAATAAATCTTCATATAATTCTGGTTTACAAAACAAAGTTTTGTGTTAACTTTGCGCTATGCAAGTAACCGCAACTCAAATAGCTTCATTAATAGGAGGTAAAGTCATCGGAAATCCTGAGACTTCAGTATCGGGCCCAAGTAAGATCGAAGAAGGTCAACCTGGAACTATTACTTTTCTAGCAAATCCTAAATACGTATCTTATATATATGATACTAAGGCTTCCATAGTATTAGTTTCTAATGATTTTGTACCAGAACGTGATGTAGCGGCTACATTGATTTGTGTAGATAATGTCTATGCAGCGTTAAGCATATTGATGTCTCAGTTTAACTCTGGCATCAGTGTTTTGGATGGTGTGGCAACTACAGCTGTCATAGATCCGACTGCAATTATATCCGAAAATGTTAGAATCGATGATCATGTAATCATCAAAAAAAATGCTAAAATTGGTAAAAATACCACTATTTTTGGCCAAGTCTTTATAGGCGATAATGTCACAATTGGTGATAATGTAACGCTGTATCCTGGTGTAAAGGTCTATCACAATTGTGAAATAGGTAATAATTGTATTTTACATTCAAACACTGTCATAGGTAGTGATGGTTTTGGATTTGCAAGAGATGAAGAAGGAAATTACAAGAAAATTGCCCAGACTGGCAACGTTGTGGTTGAGGAAGACGTTGAGATAGGTAGTAATACTGTCATAGACCGTGCTACAATGGGATCTACAAGGATTTGCAAAGGTGTAAAACTGGATAATCTCATACAAATAGCTCATAATGTGACCATTGGAAATAATACTGCTATTGCTGCTCAAACTGGGATAGCAGGTAGCACAAAAATCGGTGCTAATTGTCTTATTGGTGGACAAGTGGGCATTGTTGGGCATATTGAAATAGCAGATGGAACCATGATTCAGGCACAATCTGGCATATCTTCAAACATAAAAAATGAAAATGCAAAATTGTATGGTTCTCCAGCAATCGAATATTCTAATTACTTAAAATCATATGCGTATTTCAGAAAATTACCTGATATGGCACAGCAGATTAGAAAATTGGAACAAGAGTTAGATAAAATGCGTCAGTTGATGAGCATAAAATAGTGTTTTATTAAAAAGCGGGTAACAGAAGTCGCATTGTGGTACTTGTGATAGAAATTTTTAGATAGTTAAATGAGGTACAAAAACATTTTAACCCAAGATGTAAAATTTAGTGGAATTGGTCTTCATACAGGTAAAATAGTAAATGTTTTGCTAAGAGCAGGTGAAGTGGGGGCAGGTATAAAATTTGAACGTACAGATTTGAATAATGCTACATTTTCTGCTGATGTTTCGTTAGTAACAACAACTCAGAGAGGTACAACGCTAGAGTCCAATGGTGCATCTGTCTCGACTATAGAACATTTGATGGCTGCACTCAACGCTCTACATATTGAGGATGTCATCGTAAGTCTCGATGGTCCTGAGATTCCAATAATGGATGGTAGTTCAGCTGGATTTGTCAATCATTTATTAGAATCTAAGTTAGAAAAGCATGAGTCAACAAAAGAAGTTTATGTAATTACGGAGCCATTTACATTTTTTGATGACAATACAGGTTCTGAGTATGCTGTTTATCCTTCTGATACTTTCGAACTTAATACCATTTTAAAGTTTTCTGAAGAAACATTGGGCGAAATGGTAGCATCTATGAAGACAAAAGATGAATTTATAGATAAAATAGCAAAATGTAGAACTTTTGTATTTTTGACAGAAATAGAAAAACTTTTTGACCACGGCCTTATAAAAGGTGGAGATCTAGATAATGCAGTCGTTATCGTTGACAAAATCATGGATCATGAAGAAGTCAAAAGATTACAAATTAAACTAGACAAACCAAATGTGACTGTAGGTGATAATGGTGTTTTGACCCACACAAAAATGCACTTTCATAATGAACCGGCAAGGCATAAATTGTTGGATTTGTTAGGTGACTTGACATTAATGGGAAGAGACATTCAAGGCAAAATTGTGGCAACTAAACCTGGCCACACTTCTAATGTCGCACTAGCCAAAATTTTAAAAGCCAAATATTTAGAGCAAAAACGGAACGCTGGAAGACCAGTATATGATCCTAATGCAACTCCGGTTATGAGTTTGGAAGACATAAAAGGGTACTTACCACATAGATATCCTTTTTTATTAGTAGATAAAGTTATAGAAATATCATCGACACATATTGTTGCTGTTAAAAATGTAACATCCAACGAATCGTTTTTTCAAGGGCATTTCCCGGGTAACCCTATCTTTCCTGGAGTATTTCAGATGGAAGCTCTTGCTCAAACAGGAGGTATTCTTGCATTAACGACTGTGGTAGAAGATAAAGGACAATGGGATACCTATTTTCTTAAAATGGATAATGTAAAGTTTAAAGCAAAAGTATTACCAGGAGATACACTCATTCTAAAGATGGAGCTTATGTCACCTATCAGACGTGGTATTATTCAAATGATGGGGACTGCATACGTAGGAAATAAACTAGTTTCAGAAGGTGAACTAACTGCACAGATCGTAAAAAGGCAAAATGATTAGTAATTTAAGTTATATACATCCACTAGCTAAGGTGGCTGAAAATGTTATAGTAGAGCCCTTTGCATACATCGGAGCCAATGTTGAGATAGGAGAAGGAACCTGGGTGGGCCCTCACGCGACTATTTTGGAAGGTTCGTTTGTAGGAAAGAATTGTAAGTTGTTTCCTGGAGCTGTCATTGGTGCTATTCCTCAAGATCTAAAGTTTAAGGGTGAGAATTCAACCTTAGTCATAGAAGATAACGTGATAGTAAGAGAATGTTGCACACTTAATAGAGGTACTGAAGCAAGTATGACTACTAGGATAGGTAAAGGCACTATGTTAATGGCTTATGTCCACGTCGCTCATGATTGTTTCATTGGTTCTAATTGTATTATAGCCAATAATGTAAATCTTGCCGGTCATATTGAGATTGGTAATCAAGTTATCATTGGTGGAATGTCTGCCGTGCACCAATTCGTTAAAATAGGAGATCATGCCATGATAGGTGGTGGCTCTTTAGTAAGAAAAGACGTGCCTCCATATGTTAAAGCTGCGAGAGAACCATTAAGTTATGTGGGCGTCAATTCAGTAGGATTGCGTAGAAGGGGATTTTCAATAGAGCAAGTAAATCATATCCAAGATATCTACAGAATATTATTTGTCAAGGGTAATAATGTAAAGAAAGCTATAGAAACTATAGATGCGACCATACATGAATCTGCAGAGAAGGCATTTATCATGCAATTTTTAATGCAAGCCGATCGTGGTTTGATGAAAGGGTTCAGACAGTAATGACTGAAATAGTTGCCAGTAATGTTTCAAAAAGATATGGTTATCAGTGGATTATAAAAGATTTTAGCCACACATTTTTGTCCAATCAAATATGTGGAATATCAGGAAGCAATGGAAGTGGGAAGTCTACCTTAATAAAAATGTTATCAGGATTTCTAACACCCACATCTGGGCGATTTGATTTTTTTATACACGATAATAAATGTAATAATGATCGCTTATTTAAATATGTATCCTTAGCTGCTCCTTACACTGACCTTATAAATGAGTATACTTTGGAAGAGAATTTTGCATTTCATTCAAAATTCAAATCTATAGTCGATTGTATTGATTTTAAGACATTTGAGACTAAAATTATGCTAAAAGGACATTCCCAAAAGACATTACAGCACTTTTCGTCAGGGATGAAACAAAAGATACAATTAGCTTTAGCATTAATTAGTGATACACCAATATTACTACTAGACGAACCTACATCTTTCCTAGATAATAATGCAAAAAAATGGTTTAGTGATTTATTGTCTGAATACAGCAGGGACCGGTTAGTTATTATAGCTTCAAATGATCATTTTGACTTGGATTTATGCAGTGAGGTTGTTAATCTTTGAAGTCTAGATATAGATGATTACAAAATTAAACTACTAAGTATATTCCCAATTAGTTAATATCTAATTCAGTCCTTAAATTCAAGATGTTTTTACGTAGATCTTTGAGCTTTTTTATGATTGCTGACTGCTCTTTGGCTTGGTTTTTCTGTGTATCAAGCTCTTTTTTAGCGCCTT